GGGGCACGAACCCGCGTCCCCTGCATCGGCAGGCGGACTCTCAACCACTTTGCCACCAGGGAAGCCCCGAACTTCATATCTTAAAAGATATTCGACTTACATTACAAATTGCATTTTTCAATTGGGTTTATTTCTCCGATTCGGTTCAGGTCCAAGCAGAACTTCAGGTGTGCATTGATTTTTCTTAAATTTCACTGAAAGGTGAAGGGATGTATGTGCTCCTGGTACATGTCTGTGTGAGAGCAGGGGGGATGCTTGGGATGTTGCCACCTCTCTGCTTTGAGTACTGATTCACATATTCTGTATAGTTAAACACTTCCGTAGCATAAGAGATGTTTGAAATCCTCTGTGAGTCACAGAGAGGGCACTAGATGTCAAGATTGAGACCTTTCTTCTATCAGGGGAAAATATAAAGATGAATTGTTTTGGGGGGCTGAGTTAGAGAGCACCCAAGCTCAGTGATATCTTAGAGAAGGTTTGCTTCAGAAGGTTGGTACCTGTCCAGGAGGACAAGAAAAAGTTTTCATACAGCTGCAATATTTAGTTAAGGAGTTGCCCCGAGCCAGCTGGTATATATGGTCTGTCTTTCTTCACTGTGAGGGTTAGAACTTGGTAAAGTGAAAAAGAACGGTCAAGTCCTTAGGAATTTAGGATCAGTCAGTCTCACAATAATCTCATTGTGTGTTATCAGGGGCTCCACATTTGGCTTTTCCAAATTCTAGGATTTTAGAAGATCTTCGGGCAATGGAATTAAACAAACAAACAAACAAAAAGAAACTTTTGAACAGATCCTAGAGCACTGTATACTACCATGAAGAAGGGTTAAACTGGAATACAGACAATTTTACCCCTTACATAGATAGAATTAGTAGTCAACAAAAACGTTTTTTGAAAAATGGCGAATTTCCAGGAAACAAACTTGTAGAAAAGAATCATACAACAAGGTTACTTTATCCAATAAGAATGCTCACCTGATAGCCTAAGAAGAGCATAAGAGCAACTCACCTGGTAGTCTATAGTCCTCTAACCAACTTGTCCTTTTACCACGATACTCCTAGGAAAGAAGATAATTCTTACAAGGAACGTGTCCTTAAAAGGAAATCTGGCAAAACCGTTAGGCCTTTCAGAACTTCCTCTCCCTAACTGGCAGTATTTTCTTTAGGGGACCACCTGGGACAGGTCTATTACATGCACAAATCTCCTCTCCCCCCTTTAAAAAACTCTTGGGGGATTTTTGACAAAGTTCCAAAAGCCTATTAGACAGGAGCCCAGAGGAATTTTATCACAGTAAAACTGCTCTGCATGATACCATAATGGTGCAGACATGTCATTATACGTTTGTCCAAGCCCATAGAATGTTCAATACCAAAAGTGAACTGCAATACTAACTGTGGACTTTGGGTGATTTTGATGTGTCAACGTAGGTTCATCAATTGTAACAATGTCCCACTCTGGTGAGGGAAGTTGGTAACAGGGGAGGCTGTGCATGCGTGGGAGCAGGGGATTTATGAGACATCTCTGTACCTTCCCCATAATTTTGCTGTGAACCTAAAACTACTCTAGAAAAATAAAGGGTTAAAAAAATAACATTAGAAGGGTGAGTCACATGAGTTATCTTGGCCTTCATTCAACCAACAAAGGCCATTATAAAGAGAATATTATTATTAGTCCTTAATAGTGAAGATAACTAATCAACATCTAAACTAAGAGCAATTTAGAATCTCTGACGTTAGGAAGCAGATGATTCAGATATAACAATACGAGGCACAAAGTAAAAATGACTTGTTTTGCTTGGTTTGACGGTAACTGCTTAGATGTTAGAAAGGGCAAATCAGTACCATTCATTTTTTGTTCACCTTGTATATGGGCTGGACCATTGCCAGAAATCTGAATTCTTGGGAGAGCCACTTAAATCTCCGAATAAACTGAGTCGATATTCTAACTTACTCTGATGGTTAAAATTTAAAATCAGTTTACTACAGTTGAGTTGATCTTAAAAAAATATCAACCTTTGGGAAGAAAGAGGTAGAAGGAAGTCTAGATTAATGGAATTTACAGTTCAGTCATGGTGAATTTAAAAAATATTTTCCTTTCCGTAATTATTTTATGTTCTAAATGAGGTAAAATTTATAAAATCTGCATTAATGTCATGTTGAGGGCACTCTGGTGATCACAACGATGAGGTTTATTTTTGTCGACATGTCAGAGGGAAACATTAACTGCCGTTTGTCAACTGTGAACTTCATACTACACTGTCCAAGGATAGACAATGGGTGTCACCCTGTTAGAGAATCCTAACAAAAAAGCCATATTCAAGGAATATGAAATTGGCCAGCCTTTCAAACAAAGATGTGCTTAGGACTTCACTGATGTGATAATAGGTGTTTTCGGTTACAACAGACAGGGCTGATGTGAAACACAACCCTTTCTGGCTAATCCCATTTTAGAAACATGTGGGCGTGCTCAGTTGCCAGGGCATCGAGCACACACATGAATGAATCAAGCTAAAGCATTAGAAATTATTGACATACAAGATCAAAATAAATAAGAGAAATTGAGCTGTTCTTTACACCCAGAATGTAAATCGCTGAAAATTTTTAAAAGGTAAAGGTTTTTACTTTAGCACCATGAATTGTGATGAAATCCCATTTCTATCCCTGTGGCAGAACTGTACGCAGCTAGGAAGCTAGAGTGACAAGTTTGAGGCTTTGATGTTAGATTTCGGCTTCAAAAATAGAAGCTATGTTGTAATTTTAGAACAATGGGATACATAGCGCAAATGCAACTGGTAAAACATCTCTTCTTTGCTTTTCTTCTTAGGCGGATTTTCCTGTATTGGAGGCAGTGGCTGTGGGGATGCTTTTTGGTAGAGGAAATCCAAGTCCTAATCCTTTTGGCCTCTGCATGGCTTGAATCGGCTCAGCGATCCCCTTGCCATCTCGTCCGAGACCTGACCCAGGTGTCCAGCCCATATTCTGGAGCATTCGATTTCCAATGTTGTTTTCTAGGATTGGCTGGGCGTTTTCTCCTACAAATCCTGAAATCAGAAAATGACAAAAAAAAAACAACCCCCCAAACCACTGTTATTTATGAACACAAGTGAAGAGCCTCTTAGGCTAAGAAAACCATATGTTCCTAAGTTTTTCTTTCAACCAGGTACCCGGGAGGGTTGTTGATTCACCTTTGGATAAGGAGCTGGCTGTAGTAGAGGGATCAATGAAAAAAGGGCCTTGGTTAGTTTCAGCTCTAAAACTTAGTAGCTGATTAAGTTATTTAACCTCTTTGGGGCTTCTGACTTCTCATCTGTAAAACAGGCATAACACAAAGCCATCAAAACTCAACTACCAGGTCATATCTTGTGGTTACTCTTCCTTGACAATTAAAGAAGTGATCATCAAGCAACTAACATTAGAGATTGTGTAGGAAGAAAAGGGGTGAAAGTATTTTAAAACCACCTTTTAGTGAGAACATATTCAGTACGGTCTCCTGTAACGGGGCTTCCCCAAAAGTCTGTTGTAGAACTTTGAAGGATATAGTATTTGCCCACCATTCCGTCTTGAGGACTCCAGGGATAAAGACCTTTCCAAAGGTCTGCAGGATGCCTGTGGCATACCAGCTCAGTCCTGGGTCCGGCATGTTTCTGCTCTGAAATGTGGGCTATGTTTTCCTAGACAGTCTGAGGGTTGAAATGAGCAGTTGTTGACAAAATCACTCACTACTCTCCAAGGCTTGTGAGTCAGATGTCTCTTTGGTACCAACCCACGTGCTCCCTGCACCCCTTTCCCATCATCATCCACCTTTCCTCCCTGATTTGGGATGATGACAGCACCTTCTACCTCACCTCACCCCCCCCCCCCCAAAATTGGGATTCTCTGTCCTACTTTTCTAAGATTGTGTTTAGGATGGTGATACAAGGCACAGAAGGCTCCTTAGGCACCAGTAACAATAACAAAAAATATTATCTATGGGAGTTCTATTTCCTGACCTGGGTGGTGGCTACACTAATGGCCAATTTATTATTGTGTTTTAAAACTGTATCTACACATTTCGATGTATTCTCTGGTATACGTATCTCACAGTAAAAAAATAAAATAATAATAAAGAAAAGAAATGTCAGGGTTGAACTAATAGTATATTTAATCTGGTAATTTGTATCTGGCTTTCTGGGGAATAGCGAGTGGGTTGTTCCTTGTGATTCTAACTTACAGAAGGAAATTGCAAACAGAGATGCGTTTTATAACCGAAACTGATGAGTTTTATAACTGAAACTATAGAGTAATCATCAGTTGATTTTTCCAAGACCTTTACCAAACATTCTGATATTCTCAATCTTCAGTACATTTTCTAACTGAGAATAGAATACACTGTTGCCATTTGCTGACCTCATTACAGGGAGTGAGAACTGGGTTACCACAATAATGAGTTGGTTTTGGATTTGTCAAGTTGGTTCTTAGCTCATTGAAACAAGTATATTAATATGTAATAGAAAAAACCAGGCTTCCCTGGTGGCGCAGTGGTTAAGAATCTGCCTGCCAATGTAAGGGGCACAGGTTTGAGCCCTGGTCCGGGAAGATCCCACATGCCGCGGAGCAACTAAGCCCATGCGCCACAACTACTGAGCCTGCGCTCTAGACCCCGCGAGCCACAACTACTGAAGCCCATGCACCTAGAGCCCACCCTCTGCAACAAGAGAAGCCACAACAATGAGAAGCCCGTGCACCGCAACGAAGAGTAGCCCCCGCTCGCCACAACTAGAGAAAGCCCACGCGCAGCAACGAAGACCCATCGCAGCCAAAACACAAACAAGTAAATAAATAAATTTATTAAAAAAAAAAAAGAAAAAAGCTTCACCTGTGAACAGCTTGAATGGCCAAAGACTGGTATCAAAGAAAAATTCTGGACTAAAGTTATTTACTGCTTGACAAAGGCAAAATATACATACACAGAGATTTTATGTATATGTTTAAACTACATAAAAATATACATATAAATACATATAAAATATAAAAAATGTAACTCAATCACCAAAAAAACAAAGAGAAGCGTTTTGTCAGAACTCTTGTTTAATATAATAACAAAAAGGCAATAAAGTTTTTTTTAAAGTTTGTACTTTGAAATAAGAGAACGGTGACAACAAAGACAGACCACCAAGGCATCTGTTTTCTGAACAGCTGCTGCTCAGGTGTGTCTGGTTAAATGGCGTACTAGCATTTTGTCTTATATCCCTAATTTTTTAGTGATCACCATGAATTAATTTAAGTCCATCTATAAGCTAAGATCAGATCAGAGGGCTAATGCTGCTTTAGGTTACACATCTATTTAATCATATTTTCAATTCAAGAGCTTTCAAAGGTTCAGGTTTAAAATTTAATATTTAAGAAAAAATATGAGGTCAATTTAAAACATCTCTGCACAAATTGCTAAATTGCGGTCAATTCTCAGTTCTGAAGTGAATAGTGAATAGCTGATTCACTCTTGTAATTTTAAACTGTTGGTGTTTCAAGCATGGTGGCCTAGCAGTGGCCACCCTATTCCTCCCATGCATTTTTGTCTATATTTTTAATTGAAGTGTAGTTGATTTACAAGGTTGTGTTAGTTTCCGGTGTACAGCAAAGTGATTCGGTAATACATACATATATATACATATATGTATACACATGTATATATATATTTAAAATATTCTTTTCCATTATGGTTTATTACAGAATATTGAATATAGTTCCCTGCACTATACAGTAGGACCTTGTTTATCTATTTTATAAACAGTTGTGTGTATCTGCTAATCCCAAATTCCTATTTTATCCCACCCCCCCATTCCATTTCCCCTTTGGTAACCATAGGTTCATGCTTGGTTTTTATACAGGCAGAAAAGAATCCATTCTCTCTCTTTTTAATGCTGGTTTCATTTCTCTTCATAACAAAAACTAAAATAAAGCATTATCTTCACAGTAAAAAAAAAGAATATTTAATTTCTCAAATGTTAAATCTTTCCACACTGAAACAAAGATCCCATAAACAAACAAAAAACAATGGCTTTTCTATACAACTTAAAAACAACAACAACAGATAGTTTACTTTTCATGGGAAATGATTCTAGAGTGAGATCTACTATTGGTCGCTCGTCCTTCTTTTATGAGATTAAGACATGGGAGTGGAACAGCTCAGTCTCAGCACAGCATCCGACAAAAGGCATCATTTCCTTTTCTTTTGTTCCTAGCAGTGCTAAATCCTTTAAGTCCTTTCCTGGGATGCTCTCCTGCTTGGGCAATTTTAGCAACACAGAGCCTCCTAACCCTTCCGCAAGCCCTGCTCCCAGCCCCCTTTCTGCTGGATCTCTTACATGTATTACAGCTGAGTCGGTCCTTTCCCCTCAAATCTTCCAAAGTGTATTGTGGATGGTAGTTCACTGGTGTAATTGGCTCAAGAGATGAAAATCTTGTATCGGTCTCTCTTAGCTGCTAATCTATCCAGCTGACGGCAAGCCTAATTGGCACCTTGTCTAGTCATTTGGCTCCTAAAGTGTTGTACTGATGTTGGATAAACAGCCAGTGGAAGGGGAGGTGACACATGCTGCTTCCCACATAACAGCTAGTGCATTGCTTCAGTCCCGACTCTGTATTCAGAAGGCTTTTAATGGTTTATGTTCATTCTTTCTTCCCATCCATCCTCTTTCCCCATTACTTTACTAGCCAGCTAAAGGGCAGGATTATTGTTATTATTATATGTGACGTTATTAGAATTGCAATTTATAATACTGTCCTCTGTTCTCAGTAACTAATTTAGGGACATGGGTTTTTGATTGCTGTTAAGAAAAGAAACAGCATTGAGCACAGTTTAGGACGTGAGAAAGTGGTAGCTGTTACTACTTTTTGTCAAATGTTTTAATTATTTCTTAATATAGAAAAGCCTAATTCAGACCACTCTACATTTTATCTGCAATATTTCAGACATTTTCCATGGGAATTTTGTTAAATAAAATCAGTTCAAATAGATAACTGCTTAAAAATACAAGCCACTTTTTAGAAAATGAAATGTAAAACTAGTTTCTTGTTTTTTTTTTCTTTTTAAAAAATTTAATTAATTAATTGGCTTCGTTGGGTCTTCCTTGCTGCAGGCGGGCTTTCTCTAGTTGCAGTGAGCGGGGGTTACTCTTCTTTGTGGTGTGTGGGCTTCTCATTGCGGTGGCTTCCCTTGTTGCGGAGCACGGGCTCTAGGAGAGTGAGCTTCAGTAGCTGTGGCACACGGGCTCTGTAGTTGTGGCTCGCGGGCTCTAGAGCACAGGCTCAGTAGCTGTGGCGCACGGGCTTAGTTGCTCCGCGGCATGTGGGATCTTCCCGGACCAGGGCTTGAATCCGTGTCCCCCGCATTGGCTGGCAGATTCTTAACCACTGCGCCGCAGGGAAGCCCCGGTTTTTTTTTTTTTTTTTTTTTTTTTGTAAACAGGGGAGTTTTTTT